CTCTCTCTCTCTCTCTCTCTCCTCACGCCACGGGGCCCCTTTCGCTTCTTGTGTGCTGAGGGGGCCGGCCCCAGTGAGGACGGTCCATGCAGGTGCGGCTCAGCGTGTGCGGCGCATGCAAGTGCAAGGTGAAGGTTCCGGCGCGTGGCGCAAACACCCGGTTCAGAATGGGCGCTATGCGGCGCTATGGACGGGAGTGAGAGTCGTCGCTACGGACTTCCCCCGGCGGTGCGAGGGAGAGAGGGAGGGAGCCGACGACGCGACACTGCCCTCATGCTCAACCTGCTTTTACAATTCTAGAAAAAACTGCAATAGATAATTACAATACACTACCTGCACTTCCATTTCTCATACTGCAAAAACGTGCCTCTCAGTTTTCAAATGGCCGATTCCACTCCACAGAAATAGTTGTTGGACATTGGACGTAAAGTAAACAAGCCGTAGACTTTGATTGCCTGTCCTCTGGGTGGCGAGGCGGCTGGCGTCACGAGGGGAGGAGGGGGGGGGGGGCGGTAAGAGTGGCGTTTCTATCCCAGACAGGTTGTCGCGCGGGGCAGCCGGCGGCGGCGGCGGCGCGGCTCGCCGGGTCAGGAGTGTGAAGGAAATGGATCAGGCGCGTGGCAGGGGCCGTTGTGTGTGACTGACCTGCGTCAGGTCCTGGTGGAACCAGCGCTCCCTGCTGCCTTGCTCCGGGTCCTCCTCGGGACACAGGCGGAAGTTCCAGACGCCGTCCAGGGTGCGGACGTCTCTGGACTCGGACTCCCGGGGGAACAGCATGCCGCCCGGGGACACGGCGGCGCGCAGCAGCGGTAGGGCGGCGAGCGCCAGCAGCGCCGGCAGGCACCTGCACCTGCGGGCAGACACGAGACCGTCAAACATTGTCGCACTAGCTACAGAAAAAGTTTCCATGAAAGATTTGGTTACAATCGATGTTACAATTCAAAGTTGTAAATTTACTAGCACTGCGTCAGGCCACCCACATAAAATCTCCCCCTCCGTCAGACGGACTTAAAACCGCGCCTGCCCTCCGTAGACTCTTGGAATCGACTAACGAGCAAAAGTGGAAGTCTGTACCTATACGACACATTTTGTTAATGGTACATTACAAAACATATCGCACCGGCACGAACATGTTTTTCACAGTGAAGGGGTCCTTGAGGGGGAGCAGGGAATGGCGCGGCCCCACGAGGCAAGCGACATGGAGAAGAAAGTGAATGTCACTTTCCATATCCAGCAATCCGTCGTTCACGGCTGCAGCTCACCCCGCCCCCGTGCTGCCGCTGGGGGATGCCCTCCGCTACTGCTCCCCTGCGGTCGGCGGCGGGAGCCTGAGCTGGAGCCTGACAAGGGAACTCGTTTAAGTGTTAGTCCCCGATTTTAATCCGCCTTGGGAGTTTTGTTGGGTGACCGTATACAAAACGATTGGCGATAAAAATTCGTGCCCAGTGTGATTTTTAGTCATTTCTGGACTAAAAATCACATTTTTCTGAAAAATCCAAAAATGGTCCCTAGTTTCTAGTCAGATTTAAAATGACGATTTAAGGCCGAATACGAACTGGGTTTGGATTTTTCGGGAAAAGGGTGATTTTTAGTCATTTCTGCAGAAAGTGGATTTTCCCGAGACATATCGATATTAAATTGAGCACGAATTTTCATCCCCGACCCGAAAAAAACCCCAAGGTGGAATAAAATCGTGGACTAACACTCTGGAAACTCGGGTGTGAGACAATCTAACACCAAATGGTGTTAGGCAAAATACCTCACACCAAACGGTGTGAGGCAAACATACCTCACACCAAATGGTGTGAGACCCTCTGTGTCTCACACCATTTGGTATGAGAAAGTATCACTCCATTTGCTGTGAGGCACAACGAGTCTCACACACTGTTAAAAAAAGTTCTGGGATTTCACGAAGGAACACTCGTGAAAACTATTCCCAAAGTCCTTTGGGAATTCCCAGAGGACTCCGTAGATTTCACGTGTCGAGTTAGGCTTCAAAACACACAGGCGACTTTCAACACTCTACCTTCAATGGCTGTTTTCTGGCATAAAATCTAATAACAGAGTCCTCTGGGAATTTCTAGTAGTGGTTGAGAGTGAATCTTCGGGAAATCCCAAGACATTTTTAACAGTGCACCATTTGGTGTGAGGTATGTTTGCCTCACACCGTTTGGTGTGAGGTATTTTTCCTCACACCATTTGGTGTTAGACTGTCTCACACCTGAGTTTCCAGAGTGCACTTAGTTGAATAAGTTCCTCGTGAGCGGGAGCCAGATAAATGGGGTACCAACAAATCCCTCCGAGTGCGAGGAGGCGTCTTATTGGAGGTGCAGGCGGCGGCAGCAGGTCTGGTTCGTCCGCTCGCCAGCGGCCGTTCGTACGACTCCCGCCCCGCCCCACCACACGACCACATGACATCCGGCGCGCCGAGCTCGCCGCTCACCGCGACTCGCCTCATATGCACTGTTATGGCCTTCCCGACGTCATTTAGGTTTCGTCACCAGTGACATCAACCAGAAAAACAGTTTCTTTTGATAAATTGTCTTTGGACACCCAAAATCCAAGTGTGCGTATGAATGTCGCCCACCTGTGGGTAAGTGTAAAACCTCAATGAAGAATCGATCGGCAGGGGCCATCGATTAATCAGATGCGCGTAATTCCTATTGCAGCAGTGCATTGCTCGGCGCGGCGGGGCGTAAGTGCAGCAACGATGCACTGCGGAGCAACTGCGGAGCGACTGTTCACCAAGTGATTGTGCCTTCGACCAAAGAACACGCGTTTCATCCACAGAGTTTGTTATAGCCGTGGGTCGGGTTGCCTAAGATAGAACACGTGGAAAATGGACCCCCCCCCCCCCTTTACGATGAGACACGACCCTTGCTCGACAGCTCAGCCGCGTGCGTTCCCCTCCCCATTCGTAATACAACCACGACCACAAATAGGAAAACCACCTCGCGTCTGATACGATCCAACTTTGCACGAATGATCGAGAAAGTGATGCAATCGAGATAAACCATGCGCACCAAGACATAGGGTCGCATTCAGGAAACAAATTTGTAGACCGAACGAGACATGTGATGCGCTCGCATGACTGCGGAGCATGGATCGGGCCAAGAAGGGCGTCCGAGGGCGTCGTTTCTCGTAGCGGAGCGGAGCGGGTCGGTTCTACGGCTATGGTCTGGTCTCTAGTTGCACACCCATTGTTCCGTTGCACCCCCCCCCC